CTAGTAATAGTACTAACACCATCCCGACGTTCATTTTATGTATATCTTCTTCTTCTACCATTACTAATTAACATCAATAACAAGGGTAATTCATACATCATTGAGAAAAACTAGGCCTATCTATTTCTAGTGGAACAGAATCATCTGCAGAAGGAAGAAAATTCAAGAACCCCGTGAAACACAGTAAATTGTTGTTGTGTTGAAATCCCTGCGCATGCGCAGATCCTCCATGTTACATCTCGGAAGCTTTACCAGCCTCAGCGAGGCTGGTAAAGATTACCGAGACGCTCCGAGATTATGCCGTAAAATGTTACTTTTGGTTACATTTTGTTACATTTGGTAAGATTTTTGTAAGTGTGAATCAGGTATTAGTATTCTCTGCCCAATTAAAGGTTGTCAGGCAGGTCACATTGTAAAACATGATGTCATAGCGGAAACGGATCAATGTTATTGTATTTTTCAGATAATATTTGAATTTTTATGTGTTCTTATACCTGAATAAAATAAAAACATAAAATATACTAATTATGATACAACTATAATACAAACAATTATAAAGATGTGTTTTTTTTTTTCTATACAGAGAGGTTTACCAAAATATACCTGGATATTTGTGCCGATCCTTCTACCTATACATTGGGTTTTGCTTGTGGCACACATCCCCTCACGAAGGGCATGTGTTCTGGACTCAGCACATAATAACAACAATGAGCTACTTATTAGTTTTAGGTAAGTTGTAATCAGTTATGATATTTGTACGGTAAGGCAAAACAATGTTGTAATGTATAATATAAAGACAACATAGTACCCTTAATCTTTTAAAACCTATTTTAATAAGAAACTTTAAGGGTTAACTGCACCTTTGATTTTTTTTAAATTAGCACATTATACACTTTTTATTTTTATTACAGTATTATTATTATTACACTTTTGTCTTGCAAGCAATCAAATTAATCTAGCACAGTCAGTGTGCACCTGTTTTCTTAAGAAAAAGAATGTCTTGAAAATATTCTCCAAAAAACATACAGACTGTATTACAACCATCCAGAGTAATCTGGAAACAGTGAACACAATCCCTGGTTCTATAAGAGATTGTTCTATTTTTTTAAATCATCTATACAGTGCTTGGTTTTGTCTTCTTGTGTTATATTCTTTATATTTTTGCACTGCTGTTATTATTTTTTTACTTTCAAGTAAACTTATGGAAGAAACAGAACTTGGAGGCAAGTGGGATGAATTGAAGCTACAATCAGCCAAGCAAACGGATGGCCACAACTGCGGATCGTTTGTTTTGATGGTAGGCAAAAATAGTCATTTCCTGTGATCAGTTATACAGCATAAAAATTAATCTTATTTGTGTAAAATATTCTTCATTTTTCCATTCTTTTAAAGACTTTCAGAAAGAAAAACTGCGCCCAGGCTCAAAAACGGCATAGGGAATTGACACGTTCCATTTTCTGAACTGAAGAAAATATGGTACCTGTATCAAAAACTGAACTTATGCCTGATAGTGGACATATCTTAATTCAGTGTTATGCATATATTGGGAATTTATCTTTAATAGTTTTCACTACTGATTGATTGTTTAAAAAAGTGCATTTATATACCCTTTTAAATAATTAAATCGTCCAAACACTGCGCCGTGCAGCATGCTTAATCTGTTCATGTTTGCCTTTATTACACGTGCGCAGTATCAAAAATGTTTTCTTATGTGGTCAAAACAGCCCAAACAAATTGATATGGACCTAGAAACAAATTATGAGAATTCAGAAATCAAAGAATATAAAAAATGACCATGTCAGCTGTGTTAAAGGATAGCATGCCCACTTTATTTATAGACACCTATATCTTAGACAATATCAATCTGATGCATTAAATGAAATTCACAACTTTGTGGCATGGGTTTCACATGTTAAGGGCTACAATGCTGAATGTATGAATTATATTATATTGTTAATGAAGAGTAAAAAATTACCCTTGAAATGAATCTTTGCTCCATGAACTAAAGTACCATTATTTTTCCAGAATGCTTTAGCAATAATCAACGATACAGACCCTGCATTGTTGACAACAAGCGATGCTGAAAAAATGCGTGTCCTTGTGATGGGAAGGCTACTGGAGGAATCAACGAAAAAAAAATCATATTTTTACAATTGATTTTGAGACACAAGACAGAGAATTGACAATAGCGAACTTCATCAATCAGATTTTCAAGACAGACACTCGTACAACCATCCATTTCTTGTCTACGCCTGGCTGTTTAAGATTGAGATAATTTAACAAATTTACATATCGTATGTTTAATGAAAGTTTTTTTTAAATGCGGTAATATATTGCATTTTCAAGACAGACACTATTCTAACATTTGGCCTGTTCTTGTCCACTTTATCAAAATGTAGTACAAGTACAGTACATTATTTTGGTAAAGGGTTTTTAGAATATTAGAATAGGACTATTTGATACAAACGTGTGAATATAATATAACAGTACCAGACCCAGTACGGTTTTTATTTTAATCATGAAATTTACTTACGCTGCAAAATTGATAATATTTTTAAATATTATTGAATTTCTAATGTTTGTAAATTTTTCTAATAATTTAACACATTTGTATAAAATTAATGAAATCTTTTTTAAATGCGATAACATGTACAATAATTTAATGCCAACCATTCTAGAAATCAACACGTGGTGTCCACAGCCTAAGTTTAAATTTTATGTATATAGGCGTAAATATATAAGCATATATATATATATACACATATATATATATATATATATATAAGTGTAAAATTTTGTTGGACATTCCATAACCACAACATTGCCAAAATTATTGAATATACAGTATGCGGGGCTGAACTATATTAGTGTAAGGACAGTGCTTAAATGGATGATACTTTATTTATATACAACTGGAAAAGCTTTTTGTTGAAGAGTTACATTATGTACAATTAAATAACCTCATTTCTTCCTATTTAAGTACTATTATTTTTCCATTTGTTTACACAGGTCTATATATTGCCTTTTGTTATATTACTGTACTTACAAGCAAATTGGCCCATTGGGCCACCATTTGTAATACTGGCATGTGTTTTTATCAATAAATAAAGTGAAATTTGTACTATAAAATACACAAATCAATGGTGATGTTGGTAGTCTGTGAGTGCATTGTAACATCAATCTGTATAATGGATTGTATTTAAATGGCATTAAAAAACTGCTGTATAAACCAAGCTTGTTTTTTAATTTATTTTATTTTCTGAAATTCATGTACAGTGTTTGTATTGTATTATTTCGAAAAAAGCCTATGCTACCTTGAAACGAAGCTCATTGACTTCTTTTCGAGATGGGCTTTTTATCAAGGTTAATTTTGCAAACTAAAGAGAGGGGTTTCAGTTCGAGATGGGCTTCTTTTCAGATTAAGCCTAATGGGCTTAATTCGCGGTTTTATGGTATGTTAGATCTCTACTGTGAAAAATGAATTTTATGCATCCACATGAATTTAGGCAAAAATCAAAGGGAAAAATATCAGCCAAAGGCAATCACTACATGGGAAAATCTTCAATCACCTTGTAGGCACCGAAATATGGAATGAAATACCCAATGCACATTGTGAAATTAAACATAGAAACTCTTTCAATTTTAATAACCAAATTCAAAGAATGGTTGTAACCTCAATTTCCATTTCATTTTTTCTCTTTGTCATGTCATGTAGTTACCTTATTACTACAGTCTATTAAGTATTAATGAAGTGTTTGTTTTAATTTATTTAATACTTTGTTTTTATAGGATGTTGGAAACCAAATATACATGTAGTTACCTCTTTTCAACCTCTGTTTATCTATTGTATTTGTTTTCATTCAAATTTTGATTTGGATTAATAGAGAAGAGAATTTAATAGGGTTCCTCTTCAACAAAGATTAGGAACTGGTCTAATGATACATACTTCTGCCACTTGTAAAATTTGTTATGGTTGTGACAAAGGTGATACTCAAGTCGGATCTTTTTTCATGCCAGGGACATGAAGAACAACAATTGATTTTAAAATTGAAACAGGGACGCAACTATTTAAATTTTATTTCTAGAACTTATTTGCGAGTATTTTATGACTTAAGCTCAAACTGATTGTATCCTATATAGAGACCTGTCAACCTGTACGCATTCGCCGTAAGTCTTGCGCATTCCGATCAATTCTTACGGTCTTATGCAAACATAGGCAAAACATACACTTATACTCAAATTTTAGTAAATTTTGTTTCTTTTCAATTGTAATGAATTTTACTATAACTAACATCCAACCTCCATGTTTCAATAACCATTGTATCTGAGATAATAATAAACTCACTAATATAAATTAGATATGCCATTTAAGCCAAAGCATTCAGAATAAGAATACAATACTGCCATTCTTATGCTGATTACTCAGTTTAACATTTAGCAAACAATACTGTATGCTGGTTTTGGAATGGCAATCCTCAAATAATTTGTGTATGTACAGTATCCAGCAGGAGAGGAGTACTGTATTTTAAAAAATAAGAATTGTGAAGAGGACATCAAAAACAGAACCAGAAAAGCAGGGGCAGTCTTCCTTCTTTTATGTAGCTTTCATATTTTTGGCACAACAAAAATAAACATAGCCCATACTGTAACATGGACAGTGTATTTTGCTATCCTTTCAGCCTACAAAGTTGGGCCCCGCCAGTATTTCAGCCAGGAATAGGCCTACAGTATGTAAACATTGAAAGGGGTCTATATCATATGTCATACTGTAAGTACAATAAAAATTGTTTGATTAAAAGAGGTTTAGCATTTGCTCAAAACACAAAAATACAGAGTAGCCACAAATACAATAATCAGTTACTGATTTAGCCATCACAACTTAATTAGTAATAATCAATGATCTTCTTAAGAACTTACAGTAAAAACTGACCATTAATAAGTAACAGGTCAAAAATATATGAACATCCCAGTGAATCTAGTATCACAATTCTATAAGGCCCTAGGGTAAATCGCTAATTTTCGACCTACATGGTTAAAACAATTTTCAGACTTCTGGACAATGACTTACATGAATCTAATTTATAACAGATGCATAAAATTAAATTGCATCCAGCCTGTAAAATGTAATCATTCTTTTGCTGATTTTATGCTAGCTTTTACACCCCTCGGAGGCCTTCGCCCAGTTTTTGACCGCACAGTCAGTGCTATTTTCGTAATTTCCATATCTTGGAAATACAAATTTATTAACGAAAATAAAAATGTTAAGTTGTAATAGTTAATTTGAAAATATTTCGCAGTAAACTACCCTTTTACTATAATGAAAGTGTACAAAATTAGACCAGTTTGTGGTTGCATGTCATAAGTAGCGAAAAAAGACTACTTCGCTATCTTGGTTTTAGGATGCCCTCTATAATTTCCATGGAGATATAATAAGAATACTAGAGCGCTAACTGCAATTTATTCGATGTTCGAAATATGTAGCTGTGTGTGTGTACCATCTCCAAGATGGCTGCTATAGATTCAGCCAATCAAATTTCATCTAAGCACTATCATTTTCAATGGCGCCCTCAATTTACACAGAAATTAGTCGGTTACTCCAGCCCTGCTGGTCGACTGCTGTGCGCCCTGTGTAACTAGAGGCCTAGGCCTAGGCTAGCGCTAGCTTAGCAAGTTATTTTACTATCTAACATTGATGAAACTATTTTAATTAGGAGAAAGACACTGTTTTGATTACTTAAGATGGTATCATTGCTGATAAAAAAAAGAAGTAAACTTACTCATGTATCAATCGCTGAACATTTGTTATTTCTTTCAAAAATTCGCCGTTTGTTGAATAACCCGCCATTATATTTTGTCAAGATAGGGGGCGCTACACAGCAAATTGAATTCGAGCAAGAAAGATACTGTTCAAGGTTTCGACACGAATAAAATAAACGAGCGATACAGTACTGCTTAAAGACAACTTGATTCTTGCATTTGTATGAAGTCTTATGAAGAAAGTCTTATGAATCAAGAAATCAAGTTGTCTTTACCCAGTTCGGCTCGTCTATTTTACTCGTGTGGGAAACATTTATCTTATGAAAACCAATATTTCGATCCTTAGGCATATTTAACTGAGCTTTCTGGTCGAACCGGCAATATACCAAAACCAACCAAAACAGCAATAAGTCAAAACGGTAATGACCAAAACGGCAAAAAACCAAACGGCAACACTTTTTAACCAGAACGGCAATGGACCAAAACAGCAATAATAAGTCAAAAATTCAAAATTCGAATAAGTCAAAATTTTGGCATAATTCAGCTTTGCATTCAAATTTCTTGGTAATTTCAGTTCCGCTCGTCTATTTTACTCGTGTGGGAAAAAAAAAAAAAAAAAAAAAAAATATATATATATATATATATATATATATATAGGCCTATATATATATGATGTATATTTAATATTCCTATAAATCATATCGTCATTATTGTTATTATCATCTTCATATCGTTATTATCATTAGTCTTTGCAGTATGATTATATCTTTTTATTATTAATAATATAATTTTAATATTATTTTTATTAATGCAGTTTTTATTATTGTTACCGTATGTGGATGTTAATGAAAAAGGAATAACAAAGGCAACGATTTAAAACACTTTAAATTTGGCATGAATTCGGCTTTGCATTCAAATTTCTTTTGGTAATTATTTTGTACATTATGGTATAAACACAGTAAATTGTCTGTTAATTGGCAAGGAATAATTTTCTTGCTTTAATTTTCGATTGAATGCTGGTGATCAGTTGAATATGTGAATGATGTTTGCCATACCCGACGTGTTATAATACTGAATGCACAGTGGTGGACTTCTGGTGTAAATTGCAGGGTATGCTAAGCAGTAGCTTCACCCCTTCTCAAATCTTGCTCAAGTAGTTAAAAATCACCTCAAATCACCTTATTTTGCGAGTTAGGACCCTTCCCTAATCATCGCACCCCTACTTTACTTTTCCGCCCTGCAATAGCTTCGGTTCCATTTCAGGATTCCTAGATATGCCACTGATGGTAGGGCAATGAATTGCGTTCTATAGTCAAAATACAAATGTAGGCCTATGTTTGTTTTTTTATACCGGCATGGTTGTAGTTTCTTCTATTTAAAAGAATTCCTATAACAACGACGACGATGACAACAGCAGCAGCAGCACCACCACCAGCAACAGCAACAACAATAATATTAATAATAATAATGTTACATTGTTACATAATTGTTACATAATTGTTACACAATTGTTACATAACGCAAAAAGCTTCTATGCGCTTCACATAAAACAAAAAGTGTATTTAAACAAAAATGAACATAAAACTGGCTCAATAAAAATGCAAAATCTTCAAGGGGGTCACCATCCGACTCCACTCTAGCATAATCCCATCCACTACCTATGTGACTTGAGCAAAGAAACAGCATACACGTTTTTCCTGCAACAGACGACCAGGTACTTAGAAATGGAAACCAAGATAGGGCCCCGAAAGATGCAAGCCAGTCTATGTTGCAAAAAGATAAGTTTTATGTAATTTTTTGAAAATAGATAAGCTAAATTAGTGTTTAATGTGTTCTGGAAGATTGATGATGAAAATGTAAATGATCTATCACCAAAACATGCTGTGCTTTTCTTACAACGATTCTTGACTTTAATGATGATCTTAATCTATGTGTGGTGTGATGTATTTTAATTGACTTCCTGATGTAAGCTGGGACCGGGGCTTGGACCTCAGTGTTAATAGCCTTAAATATTATTAGTAGGATGAAGATGAGCAGTTTCTTTATGGATAGCCAGTGGAGATCGTGAAGGATAGGTGTAATGTGTGTGTCAAGTATTTTTTTGAATCCCTTTAATTCTGAGAGTTCTGTATTTGGAAGACCATATAAAACACTGTTGCAGAATTATTTTTTCAGCTTTAGCTTGCATACCTTGCATGCCTTGACAGTCCGCCACTGGAAAGTTCCCTAATGCTTGTGAAAAAAATGAGCATTCAGTATGATAACACGTCAACTAGGGCAAACATCATTCATATTATTTCTCCAGACGCAAAAACGACATCGGAATAGTTGAATATGACAATCCATTAAAATGTTAAATTACATTTAATAATGAGTATTGGCTCAAAAATACATTTTTATTTTCATAAACTTTACTTGAAATACAAAAAATTCATACAATCAGAAATCACAAAAACCAAGATAAAGCAAATTTAACAAGTTTCTGTGGTTATTTATTCAATGAAACTGGAAAATATTCCTACCACTACAGTCTTGCTTAAATAATAACTATTCTCATGTTAAGAATACAATAATGAATTAACTTTGACAAGAACTCTCTACACCCATTTATCAGAAATGAAATAATACTTAAACTATATTTCAGCGCAAAAAGCAAATAACAGTATATAAAGATCAAGGTTTAAACATTTTTTTCATTTAGAATATATCTTTAAATGTTTCTTGATCATAAAAGTAATAATACTGTAGATACAAAAATGATAATAAATGGCTACATCACAAAAAAAATAGTTATCATATTTGTTAAAACATATCTGCAAATATTATTTGCTACAGTTGTCATTACCATCAATAATGTTGTTACTTGTTTTTAAAAATAATGTTATCTGTATAATTATTTTCAACAAATAACTATCATATCTGTTAAACTGCATCTGTGTCATACAAGAACGATAATCATATTCGTAAGTACAAAACAAATGCATAATTTTTAACGAAAGTTATTAACTTAACATTCACACCGTGCTGACATATGACCATGATTATCGACAATATAATGAAAATTATAATTTACTTGCAATCATTTTTCTAATCAAACTAAAATAAAAATATGAATATGTATACGCCTAACTCATTCTAAAGCTTTGGGAATGCTATTTTTATTAGTGACGCAAACCCACGACCCCCACACCTCTACAGGAATGTTTGATGGAAAAAAAATTACATTCAAGTAATTAAAAATTACCTAATATAAACTTTTTTTTTGTGAGTTAGCACCCTGTCTCCCAATCATCTAGCCCCTCCCTTATTTTAAGACTCCTAGATACACTGCTACAAAGAGCTCATGATGCACATATATGTACTTTAAACAGATAGATCTTTGTCTTACAGACCAAGAGCGATGCCAGGAATTCCCCGACAAGGGTCCACACCCCCACCCCCCGTCAGATCACTTCCTGATGGGGGGTGGGGGTAATTTGCAAGCATACAATATTGCTCTGTGCTCTATGTGTTCATGAGTCAAAGGATGTTTGCCTTTTTCAGGAGTTTGCTTTAAATGCAGCCACCTCATCTAGTTTGAACTTAAAATATTCCGATGTTGAGCGAATCAAGAGGTATACATTTCTGTCTATTGTAAACCTGAAATAGAAGTAAAGAAAATTACTGGATAAGATAGTTTCATCAAACCTTACTGGGAGAGGGGTGGTAGATATCATAAACATATCAGGCATAGCCTTTCAATGAAAAAAGTTTCTTATCAGTTGGTTGAAAAATGTCTTTCAAAACGGCAAATTATATTATTTGTGGTACAGACACGTGAAATGAAGACAGGTCACTGCACTACTAAATATTAAGAATCAGAGAAGAGGCAAACGTACCTGACAATTCCATTGTGTACGGTACTGTGAAACATTTTCCAAAATTGTTTTAGGGTGTTGCCTTCAGAATCGGCTCCATGAAAATGGAAAACACATTCCTATAATTGAAAAGTCATTAAACGATTGTAAGTATAATCATAATGAAATATTCAATAATGCAATAACAATAACATTAATAATATGAAGATTGTTGGACAAGACTCTTTTTTATATGTTATTTTTCTACCTTTCTTTAATTTTGTAATATTATTTACAGTCGATTGTTATTCATTTTGTTTGTTAAATTTTCCCCTTTTTTTTGTTTTTGTTTGTACGAACGCACCAATTGATATTGAGTGCCACCGATTCAAAGGTGTATGTTCAAATAAATAAATAAATAAATACCATGTTTTGCAAACCAATTTTTTAAAGATCACCAGAAGAGGGTAGAAAAAAATTAAAATAAAATTTTGTTTTCTTATTTAGCAAATAGTTTTGCCAAAAACATCAAGACAGAGAAAATAAAAAATAGTTATTGGTGAATGTAAACAGTGTAGTAATGCTTTCAATAAATATACATACATATTTTTGTAGATTTCAAGGCAGGGGTAGGTGTAATAAAAATAAATAAAAACTTGAATGCACTACCCAATCTATATGAGTGAGTTTATCAGCGGGGGCCCCCTGAATTATTCAAAATTATAAAACCAATTGAGACCGTAGCCTTTATCAGAAAATATAAGGTTGGGTAAAATTTGTGAGGTGGTTTAACTTGAACAATTCAGGGTGAGTGAGTTTTTACGGCCCAAATTAGTGATTTTAAACAACATTGGTAATGTTATTTGATAGGCAAATTACAATAATATTTTTAGCACACCAACAAGGTACTTAAAAATTTTGTAGAATAATTTAAAAAAAAAAAAAAAAAATCAAACTTAAATCCCAATCTGGGCACCTCTATTTCAAATTCCTGGATCTGCCACTGTGTATAATATAGTTACAGTAGTCAAGTCAAAAATCATGTTTACCATGGTATAGGCTCCTACCTCAACAAAATTTAAACCATAGTTCTTTTTTATTGGAAAGATCATATCTTGATGATGTGTCATACAAAAAGTGGGATTTCACAAAAAAAACAAAAAACCGAACTTTTATAATCAGATTTCAGGCGCTTATCACCGTCAATGTTTACCTCAAGAAGTGATGTCACAGGGCTGTAATTACCATACGCTATTTGCGTCTCTACAAAAACCTGTTAGCTAAACGATACGTTCGCTAATAATTAACAATATCACAATGTATTCTAATACTTTACATTATAATTATCTAAATATTACGATATATTTTTAATCACAAAACACAAAAAGAAACCAAAGAAAATCATACAAAATGCATGAGTTTTAAAAACAATGAACGTGGCCTTCCATATAAAGTGAACTACATCCTCAATTGGATCAATATTTTGTATAGCTTATGTCTAATGTCGTTGCAGTGCCTCATAACCAAAGAATCCAAGCCACCTGATCCCCATTGGCTTGCAAAGTGTTGGCGTCTTGGGGGGTTTTTTCATCATAAATATCCAACCCATGGCCGTTCTTAACAATGCTAGTCACACATTCAAATTTTTTTTTATTGTATTTAAGAACATGTACAGTGTATTTGTAGATGATTATTGTTTGTTTATTGGTTGGGTAGATATAGGTCTACACAAAACATATGATTATCGCAAAGAAATGATTTTTCAACATTACTGTGTACCCAGCACTCATACCATAGACCTAAGGATGCTCAAATTACAAATATTGTATGTTATCTTTAGGTAGAGGTGTATACCATCAAGCAAGTACAGTCTAATCAACTACACAATGGAGGTAGGGGTAGACCACAAAGTCAGTCATTTCTTTTTTTGGGTTGATGGGTTGACTATGCAGCCAGTTACACAGGAGTATATGTGTCATAAACGATTAGTCAATGTTTTTAATATTAAATTTACAACATTACAATCATGTTAAAGTTTGAGAATTTTTTTACATAACTCGTACCGTAATATCATCATCAAAAGTTAAAAACCATTATTTTTTGTGTTCTAATTTATATTCCTTTTAATTAATTTTTGTATAGGATTTAGTATCTTTATGTTAGTGTATATATTCTGGAAATATTTATATTGAATTTTGAATGTCACTTTCTATATTATATATTCTATAGGCCTATCTTATATGTAATATTTTAACAAATAAACCTTGAATTTATTATTAAACATAATGAAAACTTGCCATCATCTGTTCACTGAAAGGCTCACTGCACTCCTTAACACAGTAAATGAGTCAAAATGGGACCCCTTTTTCTCACAAAATCGACTATATGATAATTTGAATGGCTTAAGCCCCCCACCGAACAGGTCAAGCCACCCCACCCCGCCGGACAGAGCTCGTCGGGCAGTCAGACCATAAAACATATAAAAATAAGCCCACCCCAAGCCAACACATGTCTGTCACAGTCTGAGAGTGCCATTTTCGGCCATC